ACATTTGGTTGAATTTTTTACACGTTCTGACAATGATTTGATCACTTTGTTCATGTGTATAATAAATAATTTCATAAGAACTTCGTTTGAATAATCGATATTTGCATTCATTTTGGAAGATGATTCGAAACACCGTCGATAACTCTTTGTAAATTACTTATAAAAGTAACCGAACTGCTATAAGCTTGATAATTCCACTGCTACCTAAATCCAAATTCTAAAAAAAAATAATGTTTGTAGAAGAAGCGACTTTATTGAGAAAACTTGACGATTTAGGTATAGGGACATGATATATCATCTTGAAGCATTTTTCATCACTTATTTGGTAGGTGTGAATAGGTATGAGCCACAATAAATCCTTACGGATTGCGGTGGAGGGTCGTATAGACCTTTGGACCTAACCTAGCCTGATAATATTGCTACAGTGGTACGGTTTTGCAATTAATCTGCGTTAATACCTCCAAAAATAGTCACCATAGTTACTATGTGCATGGAAATTGATTTATATTCATGTGGAACTGTCATACTCACCCAAAGTCTTATTCAGCCAATCAGCGAGGTCTTCTTTCAGTGGATCTAGCTGTCTCGCTTGAATACTCTTGACCTCGTCGTCTTCATCTTCTGCTTCTTCATCGTTGGTTTTGCCTCGATAACAAATGGGCGTACTTACTGATATGGGTCCCCAACTATTTCGATTTCTCAGTAAGCTCGACTTGTCGCTCATGGCTGATCTGAAACAGATGCTGCTGTCAATATCATGGAAAAACGAAATTAGGCTTGGTTCATGGGGATATTCAATTTATTCAGTTGGCATCGTGATTTTTATACTAAACATGGCCCTCTACGGGTAATTGTGGTATAGTGCTCTTATTTGACAGCAGTTATCGTTGATGGTTTTCTTGAATTTTGTTCAGAAGCACATAATGCCAGTTTAAAGAAACCGTATGAACTTGATATTGTAGGAAATGCTTCTAACCAAAGTGAAAATGTGGAACACTGAAGTGGCATTGCTGTCTGAAATATATTTTTGAAATTGACAGCGATTTTCCACGGCAAAAAGTCTCAATTACCAGAAACAATATTGATAATTTAAATGACAACGCATTCATCTACTACACCCATTGAAATACTTTGGATCTTATTGAGTAGGTTCTTCGACTGGTTTTAGAAAAAAGTTCTAGTTCAACTCATGAGGTTGAAAATAATCTGATTTTAGATCAGTCGTTTAATTATCTATAACAGGGGTCTCCAAACTACGGCCCGCGGGCCAAATCCGGCCCGCCAGTGTCATCAATCCGGCCCGGGAAAGCCACAAATTTACTGTCATCAATCTGGCCCGCGACAGCTCATCGGTTAATTGAGATCTGTAAACATTCTTTGTGTACTTCATCTTGGAAAACTTTTTCTCACACAAGTAAGTAGTACCTAATTGTTGTTGCTATTGCTGTGATAAGTTGAAGAAGAAAACACAGAATGATAATTACTCGGTTTTAATTACTTGCAAGGTAAAACTTAACGACAGAAATGATGACAAAGAAAACCTAACTTAAGTATCTAAGTTTAAACATATTAATAACTGACAAATAATTGAAATGAATCACAGTAAAACAAAAACACTAATGAGATTTATGTAATTGCGA